ACGCCCCTCCACGTGAAAGCAAATTGCGGCCTGCACTCTTCTGCCAAGGGAATGGAGAAAAATGCATTTGCTATGTCAATGGTAGCATACTACTTCGTTGTTTTGGACTCCAGCTTGTACTGGAGCTCTAACATATCTGGTACAGCGGCACTCAATGGCGGCGTTATTTTATTTAAGCTACGATAGTCTACCGTCAGTCTCCATTCACCATTGGATTTGCGTACAGGCCAAATGGGGCTGTTGAAGGGTGAGTGAGTTTTATTGACTACCCCTTGATTCTCCAACTTCTTGATCATTTTTTGAATAGGGATTACAGTATTTCGATTGGTCCGGTATTGTCGCCTATGTACTGTTGAAGTGGCTATTGGCACTTGTTGATCATCAACTTGCAGGAGTTCTACAACAGAAGGATCTTCTGAGAGACCAGGCAAGGCAGACAATTGCTTGTATTTTTCTTCAGTCACCGTGGCTACACTAAAAGCCCATCGGTATCCCTTCGGGTCTTTGAAGTATTCTCTTTTCAGGTAATTAATATCAAGGATACAAGGAGCTTTTGGCCCTGTCACAATGGGATGCTTTTTTCATTGGTTTTTAGTCAAGCTTACTTCAGCCTCTACCACTGACAACTTTTGTGATCCTCCTGTCACTCCAGAAATAGATACAGTTTCTGTAGTCTTGTGTTCAGATGGCATCAATGTACACTGGGCACCGGTATTTATTAAAGCCCGGTATCTCTGTGGATCCGAGGTGCCAGGCCATTGAACTCACACAGCTCAGTAAACCCGATTGTCCTTCAGGTCCCTTTCCTTCTCCTGGCAGAAGGCAGGGCCCCTCTATTGGTCCTTGTCAGAGTATTTAGTGTTGGATGTCCTCTTTGTTCCACCAATGGCCTTCTTGTTGTCTGGAAAGTGAATTGCAGCCTTCTTGTATTGTGGAGATCGCAACTGCTTTTCCACAAAATTTGCATTAACTACGAAAACAATTTTTTTGTTGGCTTCTTTCTGTTTCAGCTCTTTTATTCTGGCCTGAAGTTTCGAAGTGGGTTGTCCATTCCATTTTTTCATGTTCTCTCCCTGATTGCGTAAGTAGGACTACAACTGATTACGTGATTGACGGTTAGGACCCTTCCTCCTGCGTGTAGGGGGAGGAGTTGTTGACCGAGATCTGGACCAAGATTGAGGTTGAGGTCGAGCTTGTGGTTTAGATCGCTTTACTGGTGTGTCTCTGTAGTCATCTCCATCTTCGTAGTTATTTTTATATTGGGAATATTCATAATTTCTTTCTATTCTTCCCTTAGAGTGAGTGGGTTGACGTCGAACTTCGAAAAGATTTTCGAAATTCTCTGTTATAGTCTGTATCCACTGACACATCGTTTCTACATCTGGTTCATCTAATTTTGGATGGAATGCTGAAATGAGGTAGTTGACGTATTGTGCAGGGGCACCTTTGATCACTTTTCTTCACATTGGATTGGTACATGGGAGACGCGCAGGGTCTAAGATATCATAATAGTCCGGCTTACTGAAGATAAGTTCAAGCATGGCCAGTTCCCTTAGATATTGAATACCTTTTTCCGCAGTTGTCCATTTTCTTGGAGAACTTGTTAAGTACTCTTTAAATGGATATCTCTCTCTCACCGCAGTAAGGATCTTAAGCCAGAGACTATGACTAAATCGCTCTCGTGCAATCCCTTGTTCAATCTCACGGTCTCGAGCCAGAGATCCCAACTGCTGTGCTTCATGACCTTTCAGCATGTGATTTCTAGCCCCGTTGTCCCAGCACCTTACCAGCCAGGTTAGAATTCGTTCACCAGGCCGGCGACTATAATTTTTTCTTAAATCCCGGAGCTCTGCTGGGGTCAATGATCGTAGTACTTCAGATGTTCTCACGACTTCTGCTTCTGGATGGACATCCCTCCTATCCATTTCCACCTCTCTTTTGATGTATCTTTGTGGAACTGTCTCTACTCTGCCTCTCTCACGTGGATGAGGAAACGGAACACGCCTCGGGGATGGGCTTCTGATGGGTGGAGGTAATGAATAATCCTCCGGACCCTGGGATGAGGATTTTAGATATTCCTCTATTTCTTTTGTGGAACAATTAAGAAGAGTATATTTAGGTGACAATATTCTTCTTGGCTTCTGTGTTTTATTAGGCACTCGAGCAGTTGCCCCTTCTTCTTTCAGACGCATCCCCCTCTCTTTTGGACGCGCCCCTAATTTCTTGGGACGTGCTCCTTCTCTCACGGCTCGTTCTTCTTTTTCTTTAGTTACACGCCTCAGTCGTGGGGGTTGGCTTGTGGACTCTGCATCATCCCTTATCCACATCTTCTTTTTTGTTATGGGGGCGATAGTGATTTCAGGATCTGTGGTGTGGGCCTCGGTCTCGGTCACAGAGGTGGCTGTAGGTGTTGACCTGTGAGTTCCCATGTTCATAAAGTTCATAATCGGAACTCCAGTGTTCACAGGTTTGGTCCCAGCTGTGCTGGCTTTAAATGGCGTCTGGACTCTGGCCTTGGTGGATTCCATTCCGAGTGGTGTAGTTTGTGTCCCTGACTCAGCCTTAGCTTTCTGAACATGGTCTACAGTGGCTCGGTAAGCACTAGCCAGGCCCCAGCATAGAGCAGAGATTTGGGTATTTGGATCCTTGTATGTAAGACAACCCTCCATTAAACGACGGGTTATTTCATTAGGATCAAAGGCCTGTGCTGGCGTGAAGTCCCAAGTAATGGGAGGTGCCAAGCGCCCTATCTATTTATCAAACTCTTCTCATGCTCCTTGCCAACCAGGAACTGCCCTTTTCAAGCCCCTTTCCAAAGCTCCAGGTAATCCCTTTGAAGTACGGCCTTTCCTAAAACAAGGAAACCAGTGTAGCACAATCTTTCCAATTTTAAAGAGTATGTTCATCACATTCATCATGACCAAAATTGTTGCCACACAATTTACATAATTATTAGAGGCAATAGTCAGTTTGGGAATTTCTAGTATCCAACCTTTAAAGTCAAGATAGGAAGAATACCTTTTCCAAATGTTTCTCCAATTGAACACTGTTGGATTTGGATTGTCCCACAAGTAGTAGCCTAAAACAGGTGCAAAAGCTGCTAAAAGCACATTGAAAATTAGAAAAGTGGCCATTGTTTATATGTTGTCCTCACTGTTCTTAAACAAGAGGTATATTTATATAAACAAATCTCTCTTGGCTGCAGTCCCAGCACTGTTCCCAAACAAAGGCAATGTTTGGCAGAACTTGGCCACCTGCCCAGAAATTGTTACCAAAACAACTTACTGGTTATCTCGGTGGAACCTCCACAAAATGTCCCAGGTTGGACTTGGCTCCTAGCCAAGTCCCTGGACCCCGGGGACAAAACTTTCCCCCTCCCTTTCACTTTCTCCCAGCCGACCGAAAAAAAAAACCAAAGAACTCAAATTGAATGAATTTTAAATTTATATATATATATATATAAAGAAAACTATATACACACTACAAAAGGGAACTCCCCAAAAGGGAAAGGGAAGGGAAGGGAAAGGGAAAAGGGAAAAAAGGACAAAAAGGGATAAAAAGTTAAATACTCCCCTCGAGAGGAAGCGAGTCACCCCACACAGTTACCACA